AAGACTAAGCCTGTCTAAGCACTACTCCCGACTGCTGAGCACGAAGGCAGCAAACCCTGGAGAGCAGGCGCTGCCCCTCTTTCTGGGGCTTCCTTTATTTCTACTGGGATGGAGGCTGTCTGTTTTGCTGCTGCAGCTTTCTCTTTCCCGCCACTTAATTGTTTGTGACTGAATAATTATTTGAAAGAGGGAAAATAATTGTCTTTCCCTTTTTCCTAATCATTCTTTGAAAGTAAGAAAATGATTTTTCCTTCTCTCCTTTTCAATCCGTTGTTTAATTCAGGATTGAAAACTGGGGGCACTTGTAACAGGAATTTAATCTCCTGGGTTTTATTTTATGCCCCTAAATTGAAACAGCGAAGTTGAAATGGTGAGTTTTTACAGATTCGTAGATGAAGGGTCGGAAGGGACCCCAGTAGATCGAGTCCGACTCCCTGGGCAGGAAACAGTGCTGGGGTCAGATGCCCCCAGCGAGGTGCTTGTCCAGCCTCCTCTTGAAGACCCCCAAGGTAGCGGGGAGCACCACCTCCCTTGGGAGCCCCTTCCAGATTCTGGCCACCCTGACTGTGAAGTTCTTTCTAACGTCCAACCTAAATCTGCTGTCTGCCAATTTGTGCCCATTGCTCCTAGGTACGCCAGGGGTGCCCTAGTAAACAGAGCATCTCCTATTCCCTGCTGCCCTCCCCTGATGAATCAGTAGTCAGCCACAAGTTCACCTCTCAGCCTTCTCTTGCGCAGGCTGAAGAGATCCAGGTCCCTCAGTCTCTCCTTGTAGGGCCTTGCCTGCAGGCCTCTGACCGTACGAGTGGCCTCCTCTGGACCCTCGAGATTCTCCGCATCCCAAGGTGGGCTTGCACCCTCTAGTGATAATGCCCCTTGCAGGGCAATGAGAGTTCAGGGGGCGAACAGCGTCCCCCCCCCCCCCCCCCCGCTCCCCCAGCTACTATGGCCCACACAATACCTGCCCCAAATGAATGGGGCTTCCACCCCCCCAACACTCACTGTAGGCTCATGGCGGGGGGGCTCACCCCTGCCCCAGGGGAGGACTGTCTGCTGGCCTCCGTTGCTGGTGTTCTGAGATGTAACCCCCATCACACCTGCCCCAGGTGAGCACAGGCTCCCCCAGAGCTGCCTCCTAGGCAGTGAAGGCATGGTATCCTTGCCCCACCACAGCCCATATCACACCTGCCCCAGGTCAGGTCTGATGTCCCTGCCCCCAGAGCATCCCCTGCAGGAGTGTGACAGTATAACACCTCCACCAGCCTATCTGTACCCCCCCCACACACAGACACACACACAACCCTGGTGTCTGGGACACAGTCAACCTGTGCCAGGTAAGTACAGACCTCCCCCCACTGTAGTGCCCCTACAGAGCATGGGCACTGTAAACCCCCAGCTGAAGTATATACCTGACTCTGGGCATGCTCTCACCTCTGCAGCATCCCCTGCAGGGGGTGTGAAGATATAACACCCCCCAGCTACCACAGCCTGCATCCCCCGAGTCCTGGACGCACACAAAACCCAGGCATCCAAGAGAGACCCAAACAGACGTGGGACCCGGGACAGACAGACAGAGCGACAGACACACACACACACATGCTCACACAGAGCCCAGGCATCTGGGACACACAGTGTGTGCAAGGTCAGCACAGACCCCCCGATCACCCTGACCACACAGCCCCAACATTGAGCAAACTACCCCAGATCCCTTTGACCTCCCCCATCCCAGCCTCTCAACCCCCAGTCACCACCCAGGCCATCCCGACCCCTGACCCCAACTCCATTCCCCCCTTCACCCAAGATCCTCCTAACCCCCTAGACCACTCTGACTGTCCCCGCGACCCCCCAGAACCCCTCACCCACATCCCAGCACCCCAGATCCCCCAGCTGCTCATCACCACCCAGACCCCTCCATCT